CAAATGTTGGGCAGCTACTACTGCGTTCCGCCTCAGCTCCATTCTGCCTATCGGGTCCTTGGGGTCGACAGCAGTGGTATCTCTCGGAACACCCTATAAACTTTTAATTTGTTGGACTGCAAGTGCCTACCTAGTGTAGCGGCACCCTTCAGCCTGGTGGAGCTATATCCAACCGATCCTTTGTGTCCCAATCCTTTGTTTTTGACTGTTTTGGTTCCATGCGGTGGGTTTGTCTGTCGAGGAAATTCCTTATAGTACCAGTGCACGAGGTTTCCCACACTTTACTGGGATTACGCAACTCTGGACAATTTCGCTGTTCCATCAAGATTTTGAGCAAGGTAGGGATCAGCTGCATAGTTCAATGTCGGTAGGGGTATTTGCTCTCGAAGTAGTTGTTCCAGATGATTTCTATTCTTTCATATCTTGCGAAATCTTTCTGTGTGGTGTCTTCGTCGGTCATTTCCGTCGCGGGGAACTATAGCAATCCGAAATATCCTTTCGTACACCTTGTTTATATATGCCTTTAACTTTTATACCTTCAGTTTTTTTTGTTACCCTTGATAATGTTAATTTTATTGATTAGCTTTTATCTTTTTGTTCATGCCTTCTGTCGACTTTACAATCTTATCGTCGAGAATCTTTCAAGAAAGATTTTCTCCTGTGAAAGAGAGGGGAGAGTTGTAACATTTTAATTTTGCTCTTCCCATTAAATGAGTAATTCAGCGTTTTAACTGGTAACACACAAATATTATTTTAGAGCTGACTTAATTGATTGGATATTAATTACCTTACTCTGCATCTTTTTAGATAATTTCAGGCACAGCCAGACAAGATTTTGCTCCTTATCATTTGTCTAATGATTTAGTTGACCATTGCAGATGAATATTTATTGAACAATGCCTGGTTATCTTATTCTTGTTGTCCTTAAAAGGAATATACATAAATTATCAATTTCATTAGTCGATAGCCAACATTGTTTTGATTTTCAAATAAAAAGGGGTTATGTCCAGTTAATTGTCATTCAATTTTATTTTCGCGCCAGCTCATTTCGAAGGATTAATTCCTTTAGTTTTCACTCCCTCTCTGTCTCTCCCTTACTGGAGGATTTCATTTCTTTTATTTACCTGTTATCGAGTACTTATATCGATCAATTTGCTGGTACTTTGGTTTTGATCGCGTAGGGTTGGGTTTTTCTATAAATGTCGATATAATTGGTGTCGTGTTAGAGAAGGCATGGACAATATTATTTAATAAGTGAAGTTATTTATAGATTTTAACGAGAATAGTGTTTTCCTGATTTGTGTGGATTGAGTCGGTTCCATTTGTTGAGTCCCTTTGGAGGTTTCGCTGACGACTATCGATATCTTTGTCGTTATCTTTCAATCCTTCCTAAAGTGTGGAATGTGGAATTCGATAGAAAAAATGTAACATAAAAAAAAGTTAGTGCGTAGAAATTTCTGGTTTAGGGTCCCAAAAATCGTACAACGGGCTTTTCCATTTCGTCCAGCGACAAGAACACTTTGGCTTTGGCCCGAAGGATAGTTTTTTTATCCGGTTGACCATAAAGAAAATTAAGTGATTTTCTCTATTTAATTAGGATCCGGTCATCCAGATAATTTCAATTTTGGTTTTGCCAGTCTAGTTTTGGTTTTTGTTACCTTTTGGCAGCCAAATCACCTTTCTAAGGGATTTATCTATTTCTTCTAGTCGAATATCATTCACGTCGCTTGGATTGAATTGCTTGAGCCTAGACTCTTAGAGCCTTGATTTTATTGTTGCTCGTTATTGTGAACTTCCAAATTGGATCAGCCAGCGTAGGTGAAATTAGAGTTCCATGACGTTCCTTTCACCTTCAACCTTTGAGCTGTGGCCCTCAAAAATCCACGAGTGTCTTATGGTACGGTTTTATGCTACCGTTTTCGATAACGCAACTCAGTGGATGTTTTGATGGTATGCAGTACCCACCACTGTATCTGAATAGCAAAGACTCGGCGAACTAGTTTTCATTGATGAGATAGATCATCTGGTACGAGTGTGAAATCCCAGACCCATTGTTAATTGTCGGCATAAAGCTAAGTAGTTTAGTGTAATTTTTTTTATTAATTATTTAAAAATATCGTATATGGCTTAGGTAACTTTAGTTACTCACATTTAAGTAAACATTTGACCCCATTTATTTGCGGAGTGATCACTGACGCTGGGTGTGTGTTAATTCGCACTTATTGGTTATTTTAGTTTTAAGTATAGCTCTCTGCTTACATAGGTATTCAGACATATCAATACCGACAGATAGTTTTCTTAAATCTGACTATGAGGAAGCCTTTAGGTTCTTTATTCCTGCTAGTCGTCATACTAGCCTCTGAATACTTGTCATAATCATTATTTAATCACCATAACTTGTACTAAATCAATACTTAATATTCAATAAATACTGATTTTGTTGTATTGCCAATTACCTGCTTTCTTTGTCTTTTTGCTTATCCAATTATTTTCTTACATTTCAGGCATAATAATTTGGTTTGTACTTTAGTTCAACCTGCAGTCATCGCAGGACTTTTCCGATTTAGTTTCAAAAATTGGTGGCGCACGTATCCACGAACCGGGCACGTGGACACTTTAACAAACTCTGTTGAACTAAGGTCGCAATCCAAATAAGGTTACATTTTGGTAATTGATTTTTCTTACGTAAAATAAAAGTGTTACACATACTCGGTGCAAAATTCAACAATGATTTGCATCGTTGGAACAAGAATATTAAACTACTTGTTACAAGGAGTCCAAGGACTCAAAAAACCCGATTGGGAAATAAGTTTGTTTGTAAGAAGCATCGATCTTTTCATGCAGTCATATGCATTTGTTCCTCCTACTCTTGAAAACTCCTTAACTTTAAGAAAAAAAAAATATTAAGTAATGTAAGTCCAAAATATATTTATATTATTTTTTATGCACTTTAGGGATTAAAAGTGCCCTTTTAATCCCCGTTTTATTTAATCCCGGGGAAATAAAGTAAAGTGTATAATAGTACATTAAAATACAAGTTTCATAAGACGTCATTTTATCGCACGAGCCCTATATTAGAAAACGAGCCGGAGGCGAGTGCGATAAAATGTCTTATGAAACGAATATTTTATACTATTTTTTCTATTTTGGTATTATTTAATTGAAAAAAACAAACTTTTCTTGGAAATGTTTTTCTCATATTTCCTGATTTCATATGTTTAGGTTGGCAACACTACATGCCAAATATAGAAATCTTCTATTATTTTTTATCGCGAATGATAGTTCAATGGCCATCAATCAGCTAGTGTTACCAACCTCCGATAAGTAAAAAAGGAGTGTCACAAAGAGCTTCTTTTCGAAACTACTTTTAGTGTCGAAAAGACTTCGATATGACACCAAAATAGAAAAAATAGTGTATATGTTATGGTTAATGTGCAAACTTGGCTAGTTTGTAAACTAGCTGGATAGTTTACAAACTAACCAACCCCTTGACTATTTTGACAGAAAACGCAATTTTTACTAAAACACTAAAGTCTGTTTTTTTTTAAAGATAATTCCCCAAGTCAAAAATTTAGTAACTATGTTGGCAACACAAGCCTTTTCTACATAAAAAATTTGAAAGCATTGACAATTTTACATTGTATTGCCAACATAATATCATTTTGACTTTTATCTTAAAAAAAAACAGATTTTAGCTAGTTTGCAAACTAACCAGTCTTGGCTAATTTACTTGAAATTATTGAGAAAACTAAATTAGCTGGTTAGTTTATACACTATCCAATGCAGCCTGGCTAATTTGAAAACCATAATTTCTAGTAACACAAAATAGCCAAACCTTTGGCTAGTTTGTAAACTAACTAACCAATTTTCTGGCTAATTTATAAATAAAGTTTAATGTTTATGGTATTTCTTATTCGATAAATTAGAGATGAATAAAATGCAAATTTTTGTTTTATATTTTTTATCATTACAAAAATTAAATATTTTCAAATAAGGGCGTAACCGGACATATTTGGTCAAGTGGTCTTTACATACAAACAATAATAATCAGGTCGTGTTTGAAGATTAATTAAGTCTACCTGGCAACGCGAATTTAGATTGTTTGAACAAATCAGTTTCATCACAATTCCTTTCCTTGCTTTGTTCTTTTTTAACTGGCAATTCTCACATCCATCGAGGAACAAAGTTATAATTGGGTAATATTTGAATATTTTTGATTTATTAGCTCTGTTGGAACTTGTCTTCCACCGTGCCCAGTTGATTGGTAAGATTCTTTAATAATATCAAACAAATCGTCTAATATTTTGCCAGATTTTGTACTGGGAAGAATAATTGTGCATCGACTCGTTGTAGATCGTAATGCCTCATGAAAAAATAATCCGATTTTTGTTCACTTGATGGTCCATTGGCACGTAAGGTTATTAGCAAAAAAAAAACAAGAAAATTCCGATTTAAAACTTAGCCTTACTTTGTTTGTAAATTAGCCACAAAATTGGTTGGTTAGTTTATGAACTAGTCAAAGGTTTGGCTATTTTCTGTTACTAGAAAATATGGTTTTTATATTAGCCAGGCTGCATTGGATAGTTTATAAACTAACCAGCTATTTTAGTTTTCTCAATAATTTCAAGTAAATTAGCCAAGACTCTTGGTTAGTTTTGCAAACTAGCTGCTATTTTAGTGAATATTGCGTTTTTTATCAAAATGGCCAGTGGGTTGGTTAGTTTGTAAACTATCCAGCCAGCTAGTTTACAAACTAGCCAAGGTTGCATATTATTGAGTATTTTTTAATCGGTCGGGCTATAAACTTTTTGTCTCGGGATTAGAAGTACCACTTCAGATCCCAGGTATATAATGTACTATTATTTTTGTTTCGACAAAAATCTAAGGCTCAGGTGGTGCTACTCAAAATTGCTTATAAATAGTCAGAAACGATTTGGCCAGGGTCTGATTGGCTCTGACAGAATTCTGGTTAGAACAACCACATATTTATGTTAACTTACTACTTTGATATAATTTTCTTGAAGTTCTTCATGATTATTTATTGACTGAAGTTCAATTTCAGTAGCCAGCGGACAAATTTTTTCATGAATCCCACAACAGTTGCATTGCGCAATTCTGGAACTTGAAGTAGATGGGATATTCTCAGGCATGGCTAAATCTGCAATTAAATAAAATGCATGATTCCTTAAAAAAAATATGTTTTTTTTTTTAATAGAGTCAAAAACCATTTTAAAATAAAGGGAAAAAAACTTTAAACTTTGGTGAAAAACATTACTTATTACTGCAGCAGGAGTTTCTAGGTTTACCAATTTGCGAAGAGTTTGCACTAGGTAGTTGCTGAGTGTATCTAAAAAGATATTACAAAAAGCTATATGCGATTAAGAAAGAAGTAAAAAAAAACATTCCTCAAAAAATAGACTCAAAAACCATTCCACAACAAAGTTAGGAAAAACTGACCGATACTTTTTTTTTGTAAAAGTAAGAATTACTTACTACTGCAGAATGAGCTTGTAAGCCTACCATTTTGCGGGGAGTGTGCACTGGGTATTTGCCTCAGTATTTGCTGAGTGTGTGCTATGGGTGTATTTAAAAAATATATATTATAAATATAATTATGATATTAAATTGATTATATTGAATTAGAAATAATTAAAAAAAAAATTCTGTTGGACTAAAATATTATTAAAAACTTGGAGGATTTGGAAATCGAGAGAGAGTCTCCGACGAACCCTCCTAAACTTAAAACCTAACATCTATACAACGATGAAAACCCAATTTTCAATTTATTCACCTAATTGACCTACTCTCTCTCTGTCTTTGTTCTTGCTCTCTTTTTTTCTTTGTTTTCCTCATCTGCTCATGGATGTCGCGTATCGACCATATCGTTGCGTCAGCTCGTACGTTTGTCGATGTGTATATGGTACATCCGGATTATTTCTTACGACTTCCGTAAGATGACATCAAATTGTTCATGAACATAATCGGTGCATTTAAATCAATATTTAGAGTAATATTTGGTCTCGATTGTTAGGTTGGGGTTGGAGTTGCATTATCTCTATTGATCCTCAATTCTTGTTGGTTTAGTTCAACGTCACTATCCATATTTTGTTATTCAGCACTTTTGAGAATTATACACACTGGACGAGCGTGTAAGCCACTCTACGTGAAAAATTGTTTGATCATCGCCCACAAGTTATAATTTAATAGTTTTGACTCGTGAATTTTAAAGGCCTACTAGGTACTATAGGCCGTTGTGCGCGGCATCACTTATAAAACGCAAGACCATTTGAACTGTTGCTTAGAATACAAATTTTTTGAAAGTGACCAGTTTCAAAAAGCGCTTTTAAGTTAAAAGAGGATGTTTCATACAGCTGTATGTGTTTTATTTGTTTTGAATATGAACTAAACAATCACGAACAAAACTGAAAAGTTTTGTACAAATATCCGTTAACCAATTTTGTTGTAATTTGGCAGCCTTTATTTGTATGAGGTCCTTTTAACCTTTATTGACAAAAAATATACGACACGGAAATTTTTGTTAATTTTTTTTATATTTATTTATATTTTCAAAAATATTCAATAAGCCTTTAGTTTTCTCAATTTTAAACATTATGTTGCCATGCTACAGCGCCCTGGCGTGCAAAATATTTTGCATAGCCATCTCTTACTGCTTTGGCATCCTGCCCAGGTCTTCTAGCAACTTGACGCAAAGGTAAGAAGGAAGTCACATTGTCTTTTTCTGCCCTCCATGAACCAGGAGTTATTTTACCATCAATGTCATTGTCTAAGGAATCTTGCGATAAATACCTTGTGCCTGAGGTTCTGCTTTTACGTAAAAAATTGTGGAGTAGTACACAAGTCGTGGATTCCGGGATATGGTTTTAACAGGTGAGTCGTCAAAGCAAACGCATCATCCCCCACAAAGACATATGGCCATGGTTCTTCACATAAAGGTAACGGCTCATCTGGAGGCAGCATTAATTGATTTTCATTTAGCTTCTGAAATAGCGTTGTATTTCGAAAAACACCGCCATCACTAATCCTACCTTGGCATAAGTACTACGCTAATGCCATAAGTACTACGCTAAAATTTCCCTTATAATTGAAAAACTCTGTCCCGCTGTTCATTGGGGATTGGATGACTATGTGCTTGCCGTCTATGGCGCCCAGACAATGAGGGAAATTCCACTTCATCTCAAACCCTTGGGCTATTTGGCGCCATTCATCTGGTGTTTTAGGTAACTAAAAAATTCATCATTATATGAAAATCATATTCCTCGCAAAAAAGTGTTGAAATTTTTTTTCTCAGTTTCAGATATTAGAGGACATAGAGAATATAAATTCTGAAAATACCAACCAAAACGAGGGTTATCAACCACACGAGGAAGAGAAAAAAGAAAATGATTCCAGTAGAGCTCAGCCTGCTATTATAAATACAGAAAAAGGCAAAAAAAAGAAAGGCGGAAACTACAAATAGTACTACTGAAACTCGCATAGAGGAAGCCTACCAAATCCTAAAAAAAGTATCCAAGCCCGAATCAAATACTCTGGATGAATGTTCTTTATATGGTGAATTGTTAGCAACAAAATTGAGATCGTTAGATGCAACCTCTAGAGGACTTGCAATACTTGAAATCGACCAGTTAATGTTTCGCTTAACGCAGCAGAAAAATTACACATACCAGGGCCCACAATCTAGTACCGCTTATAATTCTTGGTTTGGTCAGTATTCACAGCCCATGAGATACCCATCCACAGCATCATATTTTTATCCTATACCTCAACAGTCACGCTCATCATCAGTCACCTCACAACCTCAGTCTTCCCCTCACTATTCCTACCAATCTGACCCAATAACACCTCAAAGTTCTCACCAGCAATAACCTCAGCATTCTCACCAGCCAGCACCTCAGTATTCTCACCAGCCATCACCTCAGTATTCTCACCAGCCATCACCTCAGTATTCTCACCAGCCACCACCTCAATATTCCCACCAGATATCAACTCAGTACTCTCAATCACCAGCGTCGACTCCTTTGGCTTCGCCATTACCCTTATCGGAATCCATAGTTCTATCCAGAAATAACCAATCTCCCACTCAAGAGTCACAAGAAGATTCATGTGAAGCGAACCAGGAACAGGACTTGGATATTGATTTATACATGCTTTCGTCTTAAATTAATTAGGTACATGAATAAGTTATCATTGAAGTTTATTTGAGTTCACATTTGGTATTAAATAATTAAATATACTTACCTTTATTTCATCCTTGAGTTCATTATTCAAAGCACGACATACGTTTTGCACACATCGAGATACTGTTTGAATAGAAAATTTAAACAAGTACGACAGACTTGTAAAGCTATCTCCGGTAGCCAAAAATCTTAAAGTTACAGCCAGTCTCTCTCGAATAGGTATACTTTCCCTCATATTTGTGTCCATTTTGGCTATAATTGGACCTATTTTATTCAGTAAATATTCAAAGTCTGTTGGTGACATTCTACAGAAATTTTCAAAATAACTTGATGGTTCACGACGTAAGTCGCCTAACATATCTATGACATTATATCTGCAACAAAAAAAAAATATATATTTTAAGGACAGAAAAAAATACAGTGCCAAAGCTACTTAAGGGCGCTTTAATGACATTTGGAATGTGTCAGTTCTGGACTGGCTTGGTTGATTTTTTAAAATCCGGTTGGAAACGAAAAAAAAAAACCTCTCATCAGAATTGGCTCAAATTTGGCATAAACATTCTTTGATCGATTATCTATAATCCGAATATTTCAATTTTTCGATATTTTGCTAAGAATAATCCATTAACCTATAACCTGAAAAATAGGCAACCGGATATACACTTTTTCATTTTGAGAAAAACGCAAAATATCGAAAAACTAAAATATTCGGATTGTAGATAATCGATCAAAGAATGTTTATTCCAAATTTAAGTCAATTCTTATGTGAGGTTTCCAAAACGGATTTTAAAAAAATCAGATTTCAAGGTCATTAATGCACGCACGCCCCCTCACTTAATGCAACCTTTTTTGAGTTGTTATTATGCAAAATAAATATCTACCTAAAAAACTATAACACACTGCATTTGCTTCAAAAACGAAATCTTCTCTGCTACAGTCTACATCATTTCAACCTCAAATTCGGAAAGCGTGAATTCAAATATGACTTGACTTTTTCCGAATTCGGATTTACTTTTTCCGAAATAAAATGTCACTTTTTCCGAAATTGAGGTTGAAATGGTGCAAATAATTTTGCAAATGATTTACTTACCTACTTCGACTTTTATACAAAGTCGTCATCCACCAGCGTTTTTTTCTTTTTCTTTTTTTTTTTTGCTTTTAAATATTCACCGCTCATTACTATAAAAGCTGCAGCACAAGTTGCAATACGCTGCCTTTGTTCTTGTTGGCGTCTCATCATTTTGTTTGATGTTAACTACTCCACTGTTTTCACCAAAATGGCAAATTCGTCGAGCGCGATGCGAAACTTGGCGAGTGCCGTCCAACGCGCCGTGGGAATAGCTATGGCTCGTCGACTTGCCACTTGCGCCGTTGGAAGCCGGCTTAACATACACAGTGGCGTCTCCCCCCCCTTCAAAAGACTTGAAAAAGAACGCAAAAAAGTGTCGCTTTTTCGTTTCATCAAGTCTCAAATCACTCCCAACGATTCTAAAGAAGTTTTCGCTTCAAAAAATTAAATACAAAAGTTGTTTCTGATAAAATTATCTACAATGTTTTTGCATTGTTTTTATTGTCACTCTACTATATACAGGGTGGACAAATAAAATTTCTTTTTTTTTTAATGGAACACCATATACAGGGTGTCCCACGGTGGATGGCGTATTAGACGTTCATGGAGAACTAAAAAGCGGATCATTTTGAAAGTTTGGCAACCGGGATAAGCGACCATGATCTACACTTTAAAAATATTTTTGACCATGCGGTGTTGCCGCTTCTACTCTAAACTAGTGGCAGCATCGCTAGTTTAAATAGAACACCCTATATCTGATTGCATATTTGGATTCTACGTAAAATTCTGAGTAGATTTCATGTGATATACCCTATACCTAAGTTCAACTGTTTTGGAAATATTGACAGTTGAAAATTGACTTTTTGCAACTTTGACAGGCTGTAAAACCTGAACGGTTAATTCTAGAGGAAAACCGATTTTACATTCTTATCTTAGATTTTGATAAACTATCATTTGACACAAACTTCTACTTTTGCCGGAAAAATATTTGTAAAAAAAGGGATACCTGAACCCAGTATAGTTACGAAATATCGATTACCAATAAAAATTAAATTTTTTGTCCGACTGTCGATATGCCCCAATATTTTTGTCCGACACTTAGATTTTTTGATTTAGAATATAATTACTTAGACCCTCCTATTTTTGCCGGAAAAATGGTTGTAAATAAAATTGTTGCAGGAAATTGACATCTTTGGCGCATCCGACTGCGCATATGCCCCCTGAAGATTGTCCGACAAAGATTACCACGTTATTGTAAAATATTTTTATGGCAGATTCTGTTCAAATTAGCCGTGTGGTAATAAATTTTTTTTTCCCATAAATTTGACATATTCAACGTGTCCGACGCGTCGAATGCCCCAATATTTTTGTCCGACGCATTTTTTTTCGTTGTTTATGTGATAAAAACTATTGATTAAAAAAAAAATACCAATGTGGTCATAAATTTTTTTCTTGCATAAAATCGACAACTTCGTGACAGCTTGACAGACAAACGCCCCACTACCATAATGCGCTGAGCTCAAAATTTGTCCGCCTCCACTCAAATAGCAAATACAAAAAGTTTCCACGGTGTGGTCATAAATAATAAATTTAGATCTGGGCCCAAGGACTAATAGCTCCAGTGATATTGTTCCATCAACTCCATCAGAGTCAGAGTCTAAAGGCCAAGATCAACTTTCATTTTCAAATTTTGGCAGTGGTAATCAGGTCATCCTATCAACAGTATTATTAAACATTCTGGATAAGAACAAAAAATTGCATATTGCACGAGCTCTTTTAGATTGCGGGTCGCAAAATTCATTCATATCCAATGAATTTTGTGAAAAAATTGGTATTGGCAAAGGGAAGGTACACTTGGCAGTTAATGGCATCAATCACACGTCATCTATCATGAATCACAAATGCACTGTAATTATAAAATCAACTATAAATAATTTTCAAGCAAATCTAACGTGTCTTGTGGTACCAGAAATTACAGGAAATATACCTGCGGTCGACATCGAAATTAGAAATTTAAAAATTCCTGAGAGATTAAAATTAGCAGACAATTCATTTTATAAAGCTAGAAAGGTTGACCTACTCATAGGAAGCGATTTGTTTTGGAACATTTTATTGCCAGGGAAATTCAATTTAGGAAAAAACCAACCTTTCATGCAAAATACGTTGTTCGGGTGGATCATTGCGGGTACATGCTTTTCAGGAATTCCCCATAAAACAAATGCCAATGTTCGATGCAATCTAGTCACAAATGTGGACATTCAAAATCAATTATCCAAATTTTGGGAATTAGAGGAAATTTCAGGGCCAAAATTAATTATGTCCAAAGAAGAAATAGCATGTGAAGAGCATTTTGACAAAACAGTACAACGCGATTCTACGGGTAGGTTTATAGTATCACTGTCATTTACCGATTCTATAAATAAACTAGGGGATTCATTTCAGCAAGCAAAGAATAGATTTTTTTAATTTGGAGCGTAAGTTGGAACGTAATGATCAGCTTAGGACACTTTATGTAAACTTTATCGAGGAATATTTACGTTTGGGGCATATGAAAAGTTTAGGCATCGCGGATGACATAGCAAGACATTTTTCGGAAAATAAAGATATTTATTATTTCATGCCACATCATGGCGTTTTGAAGGAAAACGCGATAACCACCAAGCTGCGAGTCGTTTTTGATTGTAGCGCCACGACAAGCACAGGTGTTTCATTAAATGCTATTCAAGGGGCTGGGCCAACTTTGCAAAGCGATCTTTTTTCGATTTTGCTGCGTTTCCGAATGCATTCATACGTTATTAGTGCTGACATAGAAAAGATGTACCGCCAAGTACTTGTCCAACCTGAACAACGGAAATTGCAGTGCATTTTGTGGCGAGCTAATTCACATGATCCTTTGGAAGTTTCTGAATTGCAGACAGTAACGTATGGCATGAAATGTTCTTCATATTTAGCTATAAAATGTTTGTTTACATTAGCCCAACAACATGAGTCAATAATTAAAAAAATTGGTAGTGTCATTCAAAGGGATTTTTATGTAGATGACCTTTTAACAGGTTTTGATTCAGAGATTGAAGCACGTGATGCATGCCTAGAAATTTCACAGGTTCTGAAAGGTGGCGGATTTCCTTTGAGAAAATTCTATTCGAACGCGTTTTATGTTTTGTCAAAATTGACAAAAACTCAGATTCCGCATCTATTTTAGAATTTGGAGAAAACGAAAACGCAAAAACTCTAGGACTCGCTTGGTCTCCACATCAGGATATTCTGCTTTATAGCATAAATTATCCATCTCCACTAGAAAGAATATCAAAGCGTCTCATGCTCTCAGAAATTTCACAAATCTTTGATCCGCTTGGATTGCTCAGCCCTTGTGTCATTAATGCCAAAGTTATTTTGCAAAAACTATGGTTAGAGCGCCTCTCATGGGATGATCAACTTCCAATACATTTGCAAAGGGCATATACGCGAATAAGAAATCAGTTAGTAATTCTAAATGATTTTAAAATCCCTCGTCATGTAAGGTGTCAAAATGCAGCTCTAACTGAAATCCATGGGTTTTGCGACGCCTCAGAGACTGCCTATGGTGCTTGCATATATGTGAAATCAATGGACAGTAATGGCAACACTTTCATATATTTGCTTTGTGCTAAGAGCAAGGTTGCGCCATTGAAGCCTGTCACATTGCCGCGTTTGGAGCTATGCGGCGCCGTAGTGTTGGCGCGGTTGGTTAATAAAGTTGTAGGTTCGATAAATATTAAGTTTGATGCTTGTTTTCTCTGGTCAGA